CCCCAAAACCCCAAAACCCCAAAACCCCAGAAGAAGCTGACAGCATTGAAGAGCAACAATTAGCTAAAATATCCTTTAAACTAAAAAGATATCAACTTTCATGCCAAGATCCTTAAGATCTACACCTTCTTGTCATTATAATAATATTCAGTTACTCTTTGTCCATCTTTAAGTGTAACAGTGAACTTTCCATGCTTTAGCCCATCCTTCCACTGTCCTTCATATCTCTCCCCAGTGTTCGGCTTAATAAGGACTCCATAACCATTCCTCTTACCATTTTCATAGTGTCCTTGATGAGTCCTTCCATCCTTCCAAGTGAATACTCCCTCTCCATGTCTTAAACCATTCTGAAATTGGCCAACATACTTATTTCCACTGGAATAACATACAACACCCTGTCCATGCCTCTTGTCATCTTTCCACTCTCCTTCATAGGAGTACCCATTTGGTTTTTTGAAGATTCCTTGTCCATTCCTCCAACCATTTGCGAATTCTCCTTGGTAAGTTGTTCCGTCCTTCCAAGTGAATAATCCAGTATCATGTCTTTTCCCATTTACCCACTCTCCTTCGTACATATTTCCATCCTCACAATATATAATCCCTTGACCTTCTGGTTTCCCATTTTTCCACTGTCCAATGTACTTTCTCCCACTCTTCCACAGACAAGTCCCTTGGCCATGTCTCTTCCCAGTGCGAGCGTTAACTTGTCCTTTGTAGGAGTTTCCATTGGAGTAAGTTTCTTCTTTATATACTAAGTCGACTTCTTCAGTTATCTTCTGTTCTTTCAAACTTGCCTTTTCTTCTTCAGGGACTTCAGGATTCTTGTCTTCCTCCATCTGAGTCTTCTCTAAAGCAGAAGTATCTCCTGAAGCAGATGCTTTTACAGCCGAGCTTTCTTGTTGGTCTTCAGCCTTTGATTCAGTTTGGCTATGATCTTGGTCTTTGTATAAATCCTGGTTAGACTCCATGGCCTCTTGGCTAAATGCATCTAATCTTCAATCCTGTTGTTGATCGTTTTCTTCACGAGCTTCCAATTCCTGTTCTTTTACGAGACTATTACTAATTTCGTCCTTGATATAATCGCTTCTATCATTTGTGTTGGTCTTGAATCGCCCCAAAATGGAGTCAGTGTGCTCACTAAATGTTGTAGGTAGGTCTTACTTTGGGACATAGTCAAAATGGCTATTGGATTCTTCGAAGTCTGACTCTGAAGGATTACTTCCACCAGTCAGAATTTCAATTTCACAACCATCCTAAAGAATTAGAAAAATCTTACAGATCGCTTTGACGATACCTCAGATTCAGAGACAGAGGATTCAGAAATTTCTGAAGTGCTAAGCGCAGAGGAGCCTTTAGAATCAGGTTTGTAGTTAGCAGGGGCTTTCCCTTGATTATCTTTTTGGTTTTTGTTTTTCTTTGATCCCCTTGGTTCCCTTGGCTTCTTTATGGTAGCTTGTTTGTTCTTAACTGACTTAGATATATTCTATTAATTATCTTTAATAAAGGCTACTTGTTGAGAGTCATCCTCAGATGGATACATTGAGCTTTCAGAGATTGAATAACCATCTAAGCTATCCGACTCGATGCTATTGTCGAGGTCCACATTCATTGGAAAACCTTCAGGTCTTTCTATTTCTGACACGCCTAAATTCATGAATCTTTCTTTAATCGGATCTCTATATTCAAAATTAATTACTACTTCAAAGGATAAATTACAATCGTAGGTATCCAAAATGTCAAAATATCTATCAAAATTTGACGAAGAAGCGGAGTTTTTATGCAATCTTCGCATAACTAAACTCCTGATCCTGCCTACAAACTTAGAGCTAACACTTGGCAAAGAGGCAACAACTGCCTGCTAAGAATGAGACTAAAGGAGAGGAGAAATCAAGGATAGACTTTTTCTAGAGTCTGAAAATAAAGATGCTGAGCACTTACTCTTCAGGGTCATCTTCCTCATTTGTTGGGGATTGCCCAAAGGTTACAAGACCAGATTCTACTGGAGGAGGCTGCTTCTTAGTGCGTGCTGGTTTTGATTGGATAATGTTCTCTATTGCTTGGCTCAGGCTAAATCAATGCTTAAATAAATATCTCAGAAGTGAAAAAAAATTAGAGTAGCTGTTAAAGAGGAAGAAGTTCAAGGTAAAGAAGATCTTCTTTAATATTAATACAACGATTTGTGAACCTTGTGGAGGTATTATCTTTACAAATTTATGCTATCTCCATTAAGTATTCATCATTAGCAGCATTAACTATTGACATTAATGGATTTAAAAGTCAGAAATATCTTACGCATCGTCACTTGAAGAAGAATCATCACTATTTACTATCTTTTTCTACAAAATTAGGTGAACTTTACTTTAAATATCTTCTTATTTTTAAATCCTGGTTTCCTGCCATTTCTTCCCTTTTTAGCTCCTCTTGGTTGAGCAATCTTCTTCTCTTCTCTGCTAGTGGAGTTCTTAGAGTGAGGCCCATCTGCACCTCTTGGCTGGACATAAGAATAATTTGAAGGGCCTTTATTCTTTCCAGATTTCTTAGTAATTCTTGAGGTTTCTGCCTGTTTTAAAGGTTTTCCAGATCCTGTCTTACTTTCTTCAATTCTACAATTCAGATAGAAAATCTTACCTTGAACTTGTACATGATGGCTCTGAGAAATCTGAGGGTTCCTAAATGCTTGATTTTGTGTTGTTTATGAACTAACTTACAATTTGGGGATCTGTGAGGGGGTCTCTTTCACTTGGATATATGGTTGATCCAATTAAGTCTGACAAATCTGAAATTTCACTATAATCACTTTCTGTATCGCTAAAATTGTTATTGGGATATTTACTCAATGTCAAGTTGTTTGAAGGTTAAGCCTTTTGGAGCGATAGGGTGGCTATGAATTGATTTCCCCCTAAGGTGTGAAAGACTAAATCTTACTTTTTATTTCAGTCCTGGCTTGTAATTTTGTTCTGATGCTTCTGAGCAGCCGAATTCTTAAGCTTTCTAAATTCTAGAGATTAGAACTAAGGATACTTTTACCAGAAGACTTCATCTTCTTTGGGCTTTGATTGATTTTTTCATCTCTGGGATCATGCTCATCGGATTTTTCACTATTTTGATCAGAGCTACTATAATCTGAATCACTTGATGACTCCTTCTTATAAAATTTCTTAACTTTCTTCAAACTCGCAGACATTTTATTTAATTATAATATTATGACTTCCATATAAAATGCCAACTGGGGTTTTGGGGTTTTGGGGTTTTGGGG